TGCTCATCTAAATCTCACTTGTTCTGACATAAGCCTATAATCCAGTGCTTTTCCCTGGATTTATTACACACCAAAACCCCATCACCACCCCCAAAATGCAAACAGTTCTTTGCTTAGAATAAGAACAAAATCATTCCAGGTCTCACTTGGGTTAGCCCCCAGTCTAACCTTCAGACTGACTCTTAGAGTAACAATTCCAACCTCCTCTTGTTGCACCCAAAAAGAAATCACAGGCCTTAAATAAGGAAGCACAGGCCTTAAATAAGGAAGCACGTGTTTATTCCTGCCAGGGGACTGTGGTAAACAAAGGCTTACTGGGAAGTTATTCCTACTGGTTTAGTCAAGCTCTGAGCTGGGTCTTGGATACAGCAGATGCATTGGGTTCATCTGCACACCCCACTCCTGTGATATGGTGAGAAAATATTTGCAGTAGGCAAAGGGAGAGAGGGAGTTTTCCCTTTTATCATCACCTGGGAATGACAATGCCATTTACCAAAGCAGCAGCATGCCATGGCCAAGGCCTCCCCAGGAGCACCAGCCCAGCCTGGGAAGCAAGTTTTGGAGCAGTACAGGGTGGGGATGGCAGTAGGTACAGCCCAGTGGCAAAGACTCCCAGAGTTTACGAGGAGAGCACGACTTCTGGAGAACGAGCCATGAGATGACAGTTCCCCTCAGCAACACCCCTTGTTAAAGACATTAAGCCTCTTCTTTTACTGATTCTCTCCATTTTAAAAGCTGATAGATAGGGATAAAAACAAAGAGTTTCCCCCTCTGGGTCAGGCGAAGCTTTCCCTGCAGCCAGGCCGGGCGTGGGACGAGTCAGGGCCGCCCCAAAACACTCCAAGCAGCCCTGCCCCGTGTTTGTGAGCCCGGGTGAGGCCCGGGGGACGTGTGACTGAGCCCAGCTCTGTTGTCCCCGCAGCAAACGAGCGCGGTGAGCGCCATGCTGGTGCTGGTGAAGTCGCTGGCGGGGCCCCGCGAGCACATCGTGGACCTGGAGATGCTGACGGTGAACAGCCTGAACTACCGCACGAGCTCGGTGCTGCGGCTAACCATCATCGTGGGGCCCTACGCCTTCTAGGGGACCCCGCGCCCCCCGGCACCGCCGCAGCCAAAGATATTACCTGAGAGAAAGCACTTACTATTTTATTTATAGATTTTCGCTCTCTTTTTTTTTTTTTTTTTTTTTAAGAAAAAAAAGGAAAAAAAAAATTTCGTTTAGTAAGTCGGTATCTTTTATTCACGCATTACGCCTGTAATTCCCAGTTAGTAGATGTGTTCCATAGTATAACATGGGCATTGTCACTTTGTGTATAAAGATTTAAATCTTGGGTTTTTTATTACCTTCCTTGGACTAGATCCATACTACGCTTTTGTATGAGAACTGTATGTTCATAGTACCCTGTACAACCTCACGCCCCCTCCCCAGCCAAATAGGTCATGCCATTTAAAAGTGATCTTCTGTGTTGTTTTTTTTTTTTTTATTTTAAATTCTAATGCAGCTACACTGAATCTCAAAAAAAGAAAAAAAATTATGTAGTCTGAATGATAACACAAAGTAACGGTTATCCCATAAGCTGAAATATATTTCTTCTTTTTAACTACTTTGTAACAAAAGGTAACAGGCAATAAAAAAATCTATTTCTGTAGGCATTTATGTGCTATCACAGTGAGTTTTTCTAATCTGGGTTGGAGGTGAAGTTACACTGTGAGAAATGCTTTGCATCAGGTTTTTGTATGCAGATTGTGTTAACCATGCCACAGAATAACATCCTGCTCCCTCCAAGAAAAATGGACCATAGGAAGAACGTTCCTCCAACAAAGAAAGAAACTCCAAATGGAAAAAATCCCGGGCAGGGCACAAATGTCCATGAGAACACTCCTGAGAACACTGTTGGTAGTTACTGGGATGCAGCATTTTCAGACAGAACTTAACATACTATTTTTCCAGAAGTATTATGTTGTATACTAAGAATGGAGTGCATTTCCTTATTAAGTTATATCACTTCCAGGCACTCGGTCCTGTTCCTGCTCTTACAACTCAGATGTATCATGTACAGTGTTCATAAAATTTATTTCTAATTTTCAAGAACTAATAACATCTTTTGTAATATGTAAAATCTTATTTCTTGTTTAAAAAAAAAAAATGTAGCAGTTAATCCTTTGATGTACAAAATTTTTAAATAAAGATCTCTTACCATATTGTACCGAGTCTATTTTGAGGTGGTTTGTTACTGTCAGGTACTGGGGGAGTCTGCAAAGCCAGAATGATCCAGATCTGAGTCTGTGCAGTTCTTGGAAGACTAAAGAAGTAATTCCTTTGCAGAAGGACAAACCTGTTGCCCACTGAGCTTTGGTTTTACTGACAGCAAAACTCCATTCCAGAGGGAGGGATTTAACCGGAGTTTTCCGTGGTGAAAAGTCTCTGATCCAGGGTTTGGCTTGTGGGAAGCTCCCTCCTCTCCCCACAGAGATTCCTCCCCATTCATCACCACAAATCCACTGGGTTGGAAAGGCAGCTCCTCATTCCACACATGTACTGAGCAAAATCTCTGCTCCTCCTCCTCCTCCCTCTCCATGCAATTCCTCACCTCCACACTTAGTTTGTTAACTAACATTTTCCTCTCCCCACAAAGGAGCTGTGCTGTCCTCCAAGCCTCCCCCCTCACCCCCAGCATGAACACTGCTCTTTTACTCAAACTTTTAACTTCCAAACTGTGGAATTCACCATTGCCCACACCAAGCAACAAAAGGTTTTGTTGCTTCTGGGTTTAAAATGGGCAGTTCTCTCTCGGCAGGTGCCCAGAGGAGGCTCAAGTGGCTTTTCCCCCTTCAATCCCAGGACTTCCAGGGCATCTGGAGCAAATCAAGCAACCACAAATCAGCCCTGGAGTCCCCAAGCTGCCCCAAGGATTTACTCTAGCTTCATGACCTGCCAATATTTACATCATTTTCACCACTGTACACCAAAAAAAAACCCCTGTGTGTTGGTAGGAGGGAAAGCCACAGGTCCCTCCAATCCTCCAGGCAAGCAGAGCTCCATCTGCTCCCCCCAAAACACACAGAGCTGCAGCAAACGTGCAGCAAGAGTTTCAAGAGCTACTTGGATTATAGAGAACACTGAAATCCCGAGGAATTATAGGAGAGCAGAGTGTTTGCTCAGCCCTCTCTATATCCTACCAGCATGACCATTACCAATAACACACCCCAGGAAAGATTCTCCTATAAATCTGTCAGTGTTGGAGAAGAACCTAAATCAGGATCGCATGCAAAGTTTGGTATCTTCTTCGAAATAGAAAACAGGGAGAAAAGAGTAAAAACAACAGGACTTTGAGAAAACAGAACTTAAGGAAATCAAAATGCAAGTTCATTCACTTCCCTGAGACCACCTGAAGGCAGTGCAGTGGGATTATTTTGTTTGGAAGGCTCACAAATGCGAGTTTATTGTTGAATCCCGTTTCCATGGCTGCGAAGAGTTGCTTGTGTTTTGAATGCTCGTCCATGTTTCTAACTTTATAACTCTCCCATTAAAATATAGAACAGCTGCTGCCCCAGTCAGCTGTGGAGCACATGGAGCCCACCAGGGACAAAGCCCACTGTTAACAGGGAGAATTATTTTTAACGCCCTCACATATCTAAACCTCCCCATCATCTCAGCGAAATGGCACGTTTCCACACTTCCCAGCTGGGGGAACACCTGCAGGATTCCAAACTGAGCTGGGCTGCATCTGCTGCAAAACCCAGTTTTTATTTCATCTGGCCAGCAGAAAAAAGTGAGCGGCCTCAGTGAGCGGGGCAAAAAGTTAACTGTGTTTTATATCTGGGGAAAAGCAGATGTGCAGTTAAGATGTTTACACAGCAAACAGTTCTGTATATATTAGGAGGAAAGAGAGCTGTTTAATAAAATGAGGGTGGTTTACAGTTGCCAAAGCAGATTTGGAGGACGGCACAACAGCTTTTGTCATTCTTGCATGGGAAAAAATACAGACCCGTTTTATACTGGTATCGATTATGTGCGTTGAACAAGTAATTTCTTTTTAAAATAAGTGATCTCAGAGTTAACTCTTTCTAAAGCCTCACATTTGTTGTGTCTATTTGCTCAGCAGAAAAAGCTGAAAAATGTTGTGTCACGTGATTTATTCTCTGGTATCTCAGCCAGCACCTTGGTACTGGATGAAGGGCCAGTGAAGGTACTGTGTGGCCAAGACACCCAGACCAAAATACTGGAACTGGGTGAGCTTAAAAGTGCTGGGGATGAAAGCGCTGTAAATACTGGAACTAGGTGAGCTCCAGGTTTTGCTTGCCAACAGCCACTCTGTCAATCATGTGCTGTTTCTGCTCTCAGCTGAGAAATTATTTCACTTTCTGATCCAGAATCCCAACAGTCCCAGAAGGAACATCAGCGCTCTGCATCTCTTCTCCCTCCCAGAAATGCATCTGGGCAATTAATATTTTTTAATTTTAATAATATTTCTGTAAAACCACACAGTGCACATCTATTCAAAGAGGATAAACACTCAGAGGTGCTGCTCTCAGCTAAGCACTGCAGCGGCTCCTGCCCTGCACACACACACTCTGGTTCACTTCACTGCACTGCTTTAATGAAACATTCATTTTTTCTCTCCCCCCAGGCCCTAAGATACCCCTCTGCAGGTCTACAAAAGCTCCCAGTGCTCCATCCTCACCTGAACAAGCACACAGAAAAAGCTCTGAAAGTGAGCAGCCTGCCAGCTGGGCTGACAAACCCCAACATATTTATGCTGTTAAACTCTGAAACCAGAGTCATGAATGTTACAGACACCTCGAGGTCTAAATCCTGCCGGTGCCACTCCAGAAACATCTGAACCTGTGACCACCTCCTCTGGAGGGTCACATTTTCTCCCTGCACTCTGGGTGTTCCTGGAGTATCTCTGTGCAATATAGAGGAATGTTTCCTATACAGAACATATACAACAAACACCCAAGTGGGAAGTCAAGAGAGCAGAATTCCTGCAGGCGGCATGGAAACTAGGAAAACAAACAGATTTTGGAAGCTGGGAGGAAGGGCTGCAGAGGGGAAGCCAACATACCAAAGCAGCAGGGTAAAAGGCATTATTAAAATCAATAAGTCATTCTCTGAGAGGCTGAGGTTGTATAGGAACATGGAAAATGGAAATGTTCCTGAGATGTGGAAGGTCACACGTGCAAACAAACAAGGCAGGCCAAAGGAGCAACTTGCAAATGCCTGCACTGGCAAATCCAGCCTCTTCCAGTCACAGCAGAAACAAATTCCCAGGAGCCTGGTGGGGCCAAGGAGGGACCCACACATTAGGGGAATGAGCAAAAAAGATAATGCCACGGCAAAAGAAATGAAGTGAAACTTTCTATCCTGTGCCTGGAGGAGGAATTTGGCACAACAGCAACGCATTGAAGGACCTGCCTCAAAGTAAGAGGTGCATAAAAGAAGGGGAACAGAACATTTTGCTGATGATATCCAGTTGTTCAGGTAAAGATGAGCATCCTCTGGAAAACAGAGCCTTTACAGTGCTCTGAATATTGAGAAAAAAAAAAAAACAGAATAAATCCAAAGGGGATAAATGTAAAGTGATGCACGTGGGGGGGAAGTTATCCCAGCTTTGTTTGAACAGCAAAGGGAACTGAACTGAGCAGCACCTCCCAGGAGAGTGTCAAGGTTATGACAGACCATTCCTAAAGGAAATCACAGCTCCAGAAAGGTGATCCAGCATCAGGAGTAACTGGGAACAGAGCAGGGAATGAAGCTGAACCTTTACACTGTTGTATAAATGCACTACAGCCTGAACACAGCGTGGAGTTTGGGTCCTGTCCCCCTCTTACAGCAGGATGTGGGAATGTCAAAGTGCAGCTCAGGCTGAGAAGTAACTGCACACAGGAAAGCCTCCCAGGATCCATTAAACGTGTGGCTGTCCTGGACTGCAGCTCTTCCCTGGCACCCCCGGGCACAGGGGAAGCATTTCCAGTTTGCCAGGATCAGCTCTGAAGCTGTTCCACACCCTTGCCAGGCACTCTGCCCTGTCTGTTGCGATGCCACATTCCTGAAACCTGGAAATGCCACCCAAAGGAACAAGGCAGCAGCCTCCACAGAGCACATGGGTGCTGCGTTAGTGAGGTTTTGGGGTGGCTGCTGCCTGTGCTGGGGTCAGTGCCCAGATCTCACCCCCTGCCCAGCAGTGGCCACAAAAGCATCAAAGCAAACTCAGTCAGCAGCAAATGTTTGCAGAAAGAGTCACCTTCAAGGGCCAGGCAGCAGGAACCAGATCACTGCAGGCAATGGTGTTCCCAGGAAAGCCATTTCTGGACACACTTAGACATGAATTGACCCTTGAAGTGATTAAAACTGAGCTTTGCATTTGCTGCTTTCTCTTCCCCAAACAATTTTGCGACCCAGGGCTGGTCTAGATACTACCCCCCAACATTTCATAGGGCTGTTTTGTTTCAGGAGAGCTCTAAAAGCTGGCCAAGGTAGGTAGGTAGGCAGTGGAGAACGTGAATGAACACGCCAAGCACTCCCTGCGAGGCTGGTGATTCTGTACTGCAAACCGAATCACAGGGATCAAAATAGTAACACGAAACCTTAATGGGGTCAGAAGATTCCTGCCTCTGCCCTGGAATGCTGGAGAGGGAAGATCTAAATTATGCAGCAAATATCTCCAACAAAGCACTGAGATTTCATGGACAAACAAGGAGTACTTTCTTCTCATGTATCACAACGAGCATCTCCAGCAACCCTTCTCCCTCCCTGCTCCACAGCCAAGCCTGTTCCTGTTGTTCCAACTCCCATCTCCCAGGCTGAAAGCTGCCCAGCTCCATCACAAGGAGACATCTTGCAGGAATGTTTCCTTAGTTTGAAAATTATCGCCCCCGTTTTTCTGGAGTGACAGAGGTTGAGAGGCCACAGTGACATTCCTGTGAAGCCTCAATCTGTGCTTTGCACAAAGGCTGTTGGCACAGAAGTGTGAAGAAAAGCTGGAAAGGCACCACATTCCCATCGTGGCAACCACAGATGCAAATGAGGCTCTGCTGAAGGGTTATTCACACATTCCTGGTACAGGTGGATGATACAGCAGTGCTGACGTATAAAGAAATGAGGATCCAGGCAGTACCAACATCCCACTCAAATCCACCTGCCTGAAGGTACCCAGGTGATTAAAACACATCTCTGAGCTGGCAGCTTGCTGGCACAGCC